CCCCAAAACCCCAAAACCCCAAAACCCCAAAACCCCAAAACCCCAAAACCCCAAAACTTAATTCTTGTAAATTTTAACTATTTACACACAAAATGGGGTCAACTTGATGTACAGTTTGCACTGTATGAGATGTGTCAGCCCAAGATTCCAGTTAAGACCATCTCTGATGTTTTAGAAGGAGGAATATTGAAATACATTGACGAAAAGAATGTCACTACAAGAAGAAAACACAGGAATAAAGTAAGAGGTCTTTACTACTTTATTGACAGTAAAATGTTGGACTTATAGGGAAAAGCAGGGTCTTGAGATCATAATTCTAATGGAAGAGTAATCAAATTTGCTGATGATGATCACGGATTACAGCATAAAGAGAGTAAGTGCTTCTCGTAACCTTACAGCTTCGGAAAGCCAAAGAAAGACTGCGATTAAATAATGCAAACAAAAACAGAAAGAATCTGATAAAATAAGGGAAATTATGTCAGCAAGGAGAAGACTATGAAGAAGCTGTTACAGGGTATCACCAAGTATCACTAGATGTATAGATCCTGACTCTGATTTCCTGATCCCCGAAGTGGAAGAAGTTCTTGAAGACCTTCCTGAATACGGCTATTTCCAAAACTATAAGGACCTGAAAGGAGCTTATGAGTTTATAGATCATAGTATTTTTAGTGATGGTAGCAAATACTGAGGCCAGCTCCTCTCTGGAACCAATTTGAAGGAAGGCTTAGGATACATCATTCTCCCAGAAGGATCTCTGATACAAGGAGAGTTCGAAGCTGGTGAACCCATCTTTGGCAGGTTCATCCAAACTACAGGGGATGTATATGAAGGTACGTTTGTAAACAAATCAAATAGGATATCTTCAAAACTACAAGCCTAATGGTGAAGGCAAGTTGTCGAGAGGTGGAGAGGTTGTACACAAAGGTAAATTTAGCAAAGGTGTCTATTGTGATAACAAAGCTTCTAAAAAGGTAGAATTTTTCTTAAGTCTTTAGAAAACGTCTAAATCTCAGAAAAATAAGAAGTAATGCAAGAGTCTAATATCCCATAGGAAGAAGCAGAGAAGGGGTTCATGTTAATCCAGAAATCTCATTGTACACCTTAGAGATCTTTTCAAGCATATCTCTTTTCAGGGGTTTTGGGGTTTTGGGGTTTTGGGGTTTTGGGGTTTTGGGG